GTGTGTGTGTGTGTGTGTGTGTGTGTGTGTGTGTGTGTGTGTCTGTGTGTGTAAAAGCAAAAAGGGTTGAACATGTGGTACCTGCGTGCAACTTCTTTAACGTTTCGTAAGTAAAAAAGCTGAGGCCAGCGTACGGGACGACGCCGAGGATGGTTGGGGTGAAACCTCGATACAACGTCTTCAAGCCCTCTTCTCGAGAGATCCGCACAAAAACATGCAGAATGTTACTGTACCTAAACAAAACAATACAAAATAAGTTTGTGACATCGATCAAAAACTCTGCATTATATTTGTCTTCACTTTAGATCCTGTTTTTCAGTAGAGTTCTGATCACAAAAACATCTTTAAGTTAAAAAAGAGCCTTACATTTCCTTTGGCGTTACAGCCATCCTCGCCCGCACCATGTCCAGAGGATAGGTCAGCATGGCGGCGGTGGTTCCTGCCATGGACCCAGCCAGCAACCTTGGAACTGGAGGCAGAGCTCTGCACCAAACAGATCTGTGTCAGTCCTTTTCTTTATTACATGAAAGACAAGTTCAGAAATGAGTTAAAAGACTCGACTCACTCCCCCTGAAAGCCGTAATATCCTCCCAGCAGCCTCTTGTACTGCTCATGTGCACAGAACTGGATGGCGGCGTACGGGATGACGCGCACCATGGTGGCAGAGTTCCCCCTCCACAAACTGAAGAAACCATCCTTCAGGTAGGTGCGGTAGATCAGCCTGTAAGCTTCCTGGAATGCAGGGAACTCATTAAATATCTGTATCTGGGTACTTTTTGTGACTTTTAACTATTTATTTTATGCTGAACAGAATCCGTTGCTAACGTTAACTGCAGCTATAAATTTATGTTTAGGAAAAGCAGCAATTGAAGCTCACCTTGGCAGAGAATCTGGCTGAGGACACTAAAAAAGAGCATCAGTTCAGTTATTCTCCAAGAACATAATGGACATAATCCTGTCATTTAGGTCTCTGGCAACCGGAGAGCAAAGCGTCCTGCTTACCTTGGAAGATGATTTTAGTTCTGTCCAACGGGGCGACAGCCGTCTTGGCCACAGCTCCAGCTAAAGCCCCCGAGAAAAGTGAATCGAGGACGGAATGAGTGCGCTTCATGCCCTGCAGCAGTCACAGAGAAATCAGTTTTAGGGGTCACCGGCAGCAACAGAGTGATTACTGTAATTCTCCTTCTATGAACAAAATTGTTTTTGAGAACGCTGATCATTAAGTCACAAAAGGATCGTCGTTACGAAAAGGAGCAAATGTCATTAAATGAGCCAAAATCTCCACGAAGGGAAGGAGAATGCTTAGTTTTACTAAACAACCATTAAAAATAACAAAACATAAGAATAAAAATACACTGAAACAGCTGACATTTTTGAAAATGCTGAAAATCTAAATATAAGATTAAAAAATAACTTTTTAAAATTTGAATACATATCAAATTACTAGGGGTGCAACAATACATGTACCCGTATCGAACCGTATCGAACAATACAGATTTTTAAAATTTACTTTATCAACATGTCTTCTGAAGATGCTCTGTGTTAAAGGATCAGTGGATCTGTGTTCGACTACTACACCTAGGCTGCACTTTTGAGCGCAGATCCACTGAGAAACTTGCTGTTTCAGCAACATTCAATTAAAAAACTTTACATTTGAGGTTAAACAAATGTTCATAATTAATATAAATAAATCACAAGTTAAAAGGGGCATGGAAAATTCTCTTTTTTGTATCGAAAAAATATTGAACCGTGAGACTAAAGTATCGAACCGAACCGTGAATTTCCTGTATCGTTGCAGCCCTACAAATTACATATAGTGCAGCGTGAATGTGACTACATTTCCTTGCTGATGTAACCTGAGCTTGATCCTGCAGCCTCAGGATTAAGAGTGCAGCACTGACCAGCGAGCTACCGTGACAATTTATTTATGATATATAATAATTGTTAAGGGCGGGTGGGGAAACGTACTACCGCCATACCCTCCCCCACCCCCCTCCCTCAACTGTGAAAATTGTATGCATTCACCACTTTTACACTCATATGCATCCTTCACTTTACTTTTACCAGCATTAAGCTTCTATTCCACTAATTGCAATATTCAACTTTTTCTTGTATAAAGATCTTTATTTTTGCACTACTGAGTACCCCTCCATTTCTTGTTATTTTTGTGTTGATGTCACAAATTCATCTGTATCTGTGTCCATATTGTATTACACATTTGCTGCCACTTTTTTGTTTATTTACAATGTTATTGGATTGTGCAATTTCTGTTGATTACTTGTTTAATGTTGTAACTGGGAAAGAGAGTAACGCAATTTCAATTCTCTGTAAGTTTTGCACGTATTAAGCATTGACAATTAAACTAATTGAATCTTGAAGAATAATAATAATATCCATTCTCCATTCTTTAAGTGCTGAAGGAAAGAGGAAATGTGAGATCTAACCTTATATTTCTCCTCTGACTGGCTGGAAGACGCCAGCGACAACACCTCTCCCTGCGTCAGCGATGCTCGTTGTTCCCGGACTCCACTTCCCATCCCCTCGGACTACGCACTGAGCACGTTCATGAATTCAGCCCACAGGGAGGGGGGGCCTGAAAGCAGCAGAGTTCAGTGGAAAAAAAATATAAATAAATAAAGCACAACAGGTCAGTTTTAGGTTAGGCTAAATTTAAAACAAGCTTCATGTGATATATTTATCCAAGCATACACTCATGTTACTTTCCTAGAAAGGCATGAAAACAAACAAACATGACTCACGGAAGAACAGTCATGCATGCAAACAAGCGTGATTCACAAGAATAACCTCCTCTTGTGTCAATGACGACTTAGAAGCAGAAAACAGAGCTCTTCCTTCTTCAGACAGTTTTAGATCAGCATGAAATGATAGCAAAAAAGTGAATTTCTWTGAAAAAACAAAGCAATTACTGAGCAACTGCCCAAATGAGTGATCCGGTAGTCATAAGTGTTCACCTTGAAACTAATGGCAACATAAAGACACAGAAAAAAAATGATACACTTAACGTTAAAAAAAACCCTCTTGAAGGACGAGAGCTTGCCTATACAAGACGAGAACTATTCTGACACCTCCTCTGCTGGAATATCAGATTTCAGTGTTTCCAAAACTTCCCAAGGTAAGAAGAGTCACACTCATACAGCGGGTAAAATAAGTATTGAACACGTCAACATTTTTCTCAGTAAATATATTACTAGAGGTGCTAATGACATGAAATTTTCACCAGATGTCGGTAA